ACTGTGATCATATCTAGGCTCATATTGAGGAGCTGGAGGACGAGATTGAAGCTGAGAGGGCTGCTCGGGCTAAGGTAGAGAAGCAGAGAGCTGACCTTTCCAGGGAGCTTGAGGAGATCAGTGAGAGGCTTGAGGAAGCTGGTGGAGCAACAGCCACTCAGATTGAGATGAACAAGAAGCGTGAGGCTGAGTTCCAGAAGCTGCGTCGTGACCTTGAAGAGTCGACCCTGCAGCATGAAGCGACTGCAGCAGCTCTTCGCAAGAAACAAGCTGACAGTGTTGCAGAGCTGGGAGAGCAGATCGACAACCTCCAGCGTGTCAAGCAAAAGATGGAGAAGGAGAAGAGTGAGTACAAGATGGAGATCGATGACCTCTCCAGCAACATGGAGGTTGTTGCCAAAGCAAAGGTATGTAGTGTTTTAAAAAGAAGACATAAAATCACCCAAGATTTTAGCAAATACTCAAATAATGAAAGTGGAAAAAAAAATTCAAATATCTGTTCAATAAGTTCCATGGTCACTGTATTTGCATGATGTGAAGTTTCATGTTCATTACAGGCCAATCTGGAGAAGATGTGTCGAACTCTTGAAGACCAGTTAAGTGAATTTAAATCTAAAACTGGTGAGAATGTTCGACAGCTAAATGACCTGAGTGCACAGAAGGCAAGATTGCAGACAGAGAACGGTGTGTATCCAAAGATTGTGAAATGTGTAATACTGAATTAATTACTACCTTTTTAAATCTCAGATGCAAATGACTGATGTTAAAAAATGAAGGTTGGTTTTTAGTGTAGTAATTATTTTAATAATTTATGTCTTGTTTTGTCACCCATTATGTAGTTTATATAGTCCTACAGCTCAATGGTTATTATTTTTCTCTTGCTTGTGTGTTGTACTACTACTTCAAATCATTTGTTTTCTTTTTAATGGAAAGCAAGTTCAGCCATATTTGAGTATCTCAGAAAGACGTCACCTGCATCTTACTCTTACTCTTGTTCACTCAGGGGAGCTTGCTCGGCAGCATGAGGAGAAGGAAGCTCTTATTTTCCAGCTGACCAGAGGCAAACAGGCTTACACTCAGCAGATTGAAGAGCTTAAGAGACATATTGAGGAGGAAGTAAAGGCACAGTATCTTGTATTTGTATAGTCCACTTTACAATGCAGTGTGTGCATAGGCTGTCTATTCATCAGGAATGTGTCGGGCGAAAAAATCACCTACAAATTATATCTCAAACACAAGTGGTTTAACAAAACCTTGATGAAAAATGGATCTATACACTGTGCACCAAGGTTAAAAACTGACATGTAATGGAATGACATATACTTATTGTAAACTGAATTAGATATATCAGACAGAACTGGTTTGATTTTTTTAAAATCATTTGTTAAATCATAGATATACATTACATTTCAGTTTCTGGTATTATGGGTAGGCACTACAGTGTGTCAACCGAATCAATTAACGCTTTCATGCTTACAGGCCAAGAACGCCCTGGCCCATGCTGTTCAGTCTGCCCACCATGACTGTGATCTGCTCAGAGAGCAGTTTGAGGAGGAGCAGGAGGCCAAGGCAGAGCTGCAGCGAGGAATGTCCAAGGCCAACAGTGAGGTGGCTCAGTGGAGAACTAAATATGAGACTGATGCTATCCAGCGCACTGAGGAGCTGGAGGAGGCCAAGTAAGTCACTGTCTTTTCAGTGTTTAAATTTGTTTTTATTTCAGCTGTTGGTTTCTAAACAAAAATCCTTTTTCACTTCAGGAAAAAGCTTGCCCAGCGTCTGCAGGAGGCTGAGGAATCCATTGAGGCTGTGAACTCCAAGTGTGCCTCTCTGGAGAAGACCAAGCAGAGGCTGCAGGGTGAAGTGGAGGACCTCATGATTGATGTGGAGAGAGCTAATGCTCTGGCTGCCAACCTTGACAAGAAGCAGAGGAACTTTGATAAGGTAACAGAAAATCAAGTCCACACTGATCTGAGTAAAACAAAACACTACCATAATAATTGGTTCTCATCTATATATTACTAGGTCCTTGCAGAGTGGAAACAGAAGTGTGAGGAGAGCCAGGCAGAGCTGGAAGGAGCCCAGAAGGAGGCTCGCTCTCTCAGCACTGAACTCTTCAAGATGAAGAACTCTTATGAGGAGGCTCTGGACCATCTGGAGACCTTGAAGAGAGAGAACAAGAATCTGCAACGTATGTCAATAGCACTAAAATCTCATTTGTGTGGTCCATTCTATGACTTTCAAAGGCGAATTATTCCTTTCAACTTACTGTATGTTATACTTAAACATCCTACCTACCTGCTGTAAAAAAAGATCCCCTTCTAACTATGTATCTTCTAATTGTTCTTTAGAGGAGATCTCGGACCTGACTGAACAGATTGGTGAGTCTGGAAAGACTGTCCATGAACTGGAGAAAGCAAAAAAAACAGTGGAGACTGAGAAGTCTGAGATTCAGTCAGCACTGGAGGAAGCTGAAGTAAAATCTTGATTACACTTACATGTTAAAATACAATAGCACACTCTATATGTAACCATGTATACATTTTGACTGTGTTTATATGAAACATTTGGTATATGTGAATGTTTAAGGGCACAATAGAGCACGAGGAGGCCAAGATCCTTCGTGTCCAGCTTGAGCTCAACCAGATCAAAGGTGAGGTTGACAGGAAGCTGGCTGAGAAAGATGAGGAGATGGAGCAGATCAAGAGGAACAGCCAGAGGGTGATTGAGTCCATGCAGACCACTCTTGATGCTGAGGTCAGGAGCAGGAATGATGCCCTGAGAGTCAAGAAGAAGATGGAGGGAGACCTGAATGAAATGGAGATTCAGCTGAGCCATGCCAACAGGCAGGCTGCTGAGGCCCAGAAACACCTGAGGAATGTCCAGGGACAGCTCAAGGTGAGGACCGTATGATCATTTAGGTAAAAAGCAGGTTCAAAGGGTACAGAAGGTACATTCATGTGTTTTCTTTTTTGTTGTCAGGATGCCCAGCTGCACCTTGATGAGGCTCTGAGAGGACAGGAAGACATGAAGGAGCAGGTCGCCATGGTGGAGCGCAGAAATGGCCTGATGCTGGCTGAGATTGAAGAGCTGAGAGCTGCTTTGGAGCAGACTGAGAGAGGACGCAAAGTGGCTGAGCAGGAGTTGGTTGTTGCCAGTGAACGTGTTGGACTGCTTCACTCTCAGGTTTGTTTTCATGCATTCACAGGACACTAGTCTTGAAAACAGTTTAAATATTATGTTAAACATGACTTTTCTTAAACATCCAGAACACCAGTCTTATTAACACCAAGAAGAAGCTGGAGGCTGACCTTGTCCAGGTTCAGGGTGAAGTGGATGATGCTGTCCAGGAAGCAAGAAATGCTGAGGACAAAGCCAAAAAGGCTATCACTGATGTGAGTTTAGGTTTATGAGTTTTCCTTCTTATGTAAAATGCAACATCAGTAAATGTGTTTTTAAACTTGACCATTTGTGTCAATACATTCAAAAATATAATTCCAAACTGCCCATTATTTCAGGCTGCCATGATGGCCGAGGAGCTGAAAAAGGAGCAGGACACCAGTGCTCATCTGGAGAGGATGAAGAAGAACCTGGAGGTCACAGTCAAGGACCTGCAGCACCGTCTGGATGAGGCCGAGAACCTCGCCATGAAGGGTGGCAAGAAGCAGCTCCAGAAACTGGAGGCCAGGGTACTGTATGAACTGTAAAACAACATTTTGTTTTTGAAGGCACATCAAACTTTCATTGATTTATTCATTTCATATAGTACTATATCTTTATACATAATTCTTATTTTAAAGGTGCGTGAGCTGGAAGCTGAAGTTGAAGGTGAGCAGAGACGTGGAGCTGATGCTGTGAAAGGTCTCCGCAAATATGAGAGGAGAGTAAAAGAGCTGACCTACCAGGTAATGAATTTTACTTAAAAAACACACAGTACACAGTTGAAGTGTTTGTTCTCTTTCATCTACAATTCTTTGTGTGTCTAGGCTGAGGAGGACAAGAAAAACGTGACCAGACTCCAGGATCTGATGGAGAAGCTGCAGCTCAAAGTCAAGGCTTATAAGAGCCAGGCTGAGGAGGCTGTGAGTGAACTACATTGTTGTGAATATTCATTTACAATTAAATTATTAATGACATTAACAAGCAAGTCAACAATAATCCCATACCCTTCACAGGAGGAGCAGGCCAACACCCACCTGTCCAGGCTCAGGAAGGTTCAACATGAGCTGGAGGAAGCTCAGGAGCGCGCTGACATCGCTGAGTCCCAGGTCATCAAACTGAGAGCCAAGAGCCGTGATGTTGGAAAGGTAACTTTTCATTTTTTCACAATGTCAGTGATTGGCATTTGACATTTTTCTGTAAGAATATGCATTTATTTTAATCGCTACATAGTGAATGCTACTGTATTTCAAATATACTCATAACTACAAACCCTGCCTAGAGGTACTGACTATCTCCTTTACCTTCAGGGAAGTGATTTTGCTGAATGAGACACAAGATCCAGCTGGAGCATCTCAGCAAACTTCATATAATATGAGCCCCTGAGAATTTTCTGAAAAAGTGTCAATATATTATGTTAAAATATGTTAGTTCTGTTTTCTTTGTGCTTCCTGTTTGACAAATTCAACCTTACATAATCAGATTAGCTTATGTAATAGTTAAATAAAACTATTTAAACAATGTGTGTTTCACTAACAGTGTGTTTCAATATGAAGACCAAACTGGCAAATTATTATTCCTCATATTACATATTATACTTTTAGTTAAGATCAGATGCTACAGCTCTGTTCCATCTTGCATATAGCCATACCGACGACATAATGAAAACAGTGCCCGGCGTTGTTGCAAAGTGAATTAACAGCTCTGTAATTGTGTAAAATGTTTCAATGAGATATTTAGACTCATTTGTGAATTATGTAGTTCAGCTAATCAAGAGCACATGAACCGACTCACAGGTTTAATCAAGGTATTTTTGTTTTAATTGCTATAATGCATTTTCTTCCCAGTTTCACAGTTTACCAGAGCCATGGATTTAATTACAACATACCCACATTTTCTCCCTCCACAAAAGCAGCTAAAGCATTATTATCATTTATCAACTACATTTCAGTTACATTTGAAAATGCAAAACAACGAGTGCTCACATATACCACAGGTGTATAATGCATCTATATATGGAGCGTTTAATTAGCAAAGAAAATAGATAGACAGTTCGACTAATACCCTACCCACTGCTGAAAATGGAAACAGAATACATTTGAGCTTTATTCCAGCAAAACTATAAATACAATTTTATAAACATTGTTCAACTGATGATTTTCTAAGCCAATAAGTGACACCTCTCATTTCATCTCTATAGTTTTCATCAGTACATAATTTACCGTGCGGCATAGTGACTATTGTTTATTGCCACCATTCTTCCTGTCTTTCTTTTTCTTTTCTTTTTCCTCTCTTTTCCTTGCTCTGCCTTTTCCCTCACCTTTCCACAAGGCCCTTTCCTTGTTCTGCCCTCCTTGAGCCATATCATTCTGCACCTGGGCTGTATGATTCTTATCCATCAGAGAGAAGCAGTCTTTGTCTGGACTGTTAGGACCAGTCACAAGTCTCCCCTCTTCCTGTGGGCACAAAGTTACAAAATGTGTTTTACTGGTTGTGCCTGTTTTGGGCGATGACATTCTGGAGGGGGCTTTCCTAGGATTTCCACGGCTTGGAGAGCACTGCCTGGACTTAATATCTTCTCCTGGGACAAGATATAAGTTGACGGAGAGGGGTCTTCCAGGCACTGGACTCAGAGGAACCACAAAGCTGTCTCCAGGGGCTCCCAGAGTAAGTGAAAGCTCTGGAAAGGTACATGGTTGAACAACAGTCTCCTGTGCCTTTGACAGATAAAGAAGTCAAATAAGCACTGATGAAGCAACACATCTTTTATTAAGACAATCATCTTCACAAGCACATCTTACCTGCTGTGGTATGAAACTCATAGACACATTCACTGTCACCTGTTCAAAAAACAGCAAGTCATTGTTCAGTACACAGTGTTAGAATGACTCTTGATTAACCTTATGTGAATTTGTGGTCATTGGCAGACAAGACTTTACAGTCACTTATAGCAGCATGGGAATAAGATATCCACCTTAAAGGGGAAGCTAACAAATGGAACTTCACTTCCCCCCTACATGAAATCCTTATCTGGGTTAGGGTTTGTTCACTATGTGTACATAAATCCTTCAGTGCAAATCAATACAGAACAACAGGTCAAGTCTTTTATTCATACGTCACACATCTATATTACAAATTATATTTGCAATGAACAATTTACCTGAACAAGGGAATGAAGCTTCTTCTGATGCTCTGTCTCAGGAGTAAATGAAGCAGATTTGGGTAGCACTCTGGGGGATGCAGATTCTGCATAAGCCATTTGAGGCTGAGAGGTAGGTCTGGAACAGTCCTGTGGTGTTGTTGGTGCATCTTCAGCCACAGAGATGTGTGGTGAGGAGGCCTTGCAGAAGAAAAATGAAAACATGGTAAATGGACTGTGTTTATATAGCGCATTTCCACAGTGTGTTACACTGGCCAAAGTGCTTTACAGAGATGATACACCATTCACCCATTCACACACCGATGACAACAGCTGCCACACAACGGCGCTAATCAAGCCACCGGGAGCAATTTGGGGTTCAGTGTCTTGCTCAGGGACATTTAGGCATGCGGGGAGACCAGGAGTCGAACCACCAACTTGCTGGTCAGGAGACGACTGCCCTACCTCGTGAGCCACAGCCACCCCCAGACATAAGGTAGTTGAGCTGTCAAGTATTTCACCATTACTGAGGTCACTTGGATATCAGGCTGCTTATTAAATAAATAGTTCAATGTCTACATATTTGGATCTGTGGACTGAGAATGGTGTTTCTGCAATGAATTATGGTATTGTAGTCACAAAGAAAGACACACAAATTTGTTTCATACCATTCCCTTTGTGGGAGTGTGACATTAACATAACAATGAACTACATTTAATAACACTTGGTCTAATTCTTTTTTCCTGCAGTATCGATGATTTTAATGTTGTGAAACTTACTGGGATTTCAGCGTTTATATTTCTGTCATGTTCTTTTGCTTCAGAATCCCCACTTATCCCTGGCAGGTTAGGAAGTGAGACACGCTGATCGTCTAGCCGTCGTGCCTGACTGGAGGCAATCATTTTGAAGAATGCATCGGCTTCTGCACCTGTTACAGAGAGTCAAGAGTTATTTCTGTGATGTCCCAGAGACAGAAAACACATTGACCTTATGTGCCCTGTGTGTTTTTCTAACCTGGGAGTACAGTGCTTCCATTGTGTGTGGGTGTGGCAGGTGTACTTCTGCTTGGTTGTAAGAAGCAACGTTGCTCTTCCATGCGTCCTCTTTGTGCATGACTTATCATTTTGAGGAACAGCTCCTGTTCTGCTGGAGCTACCTTCAAAAATGATGTAAAGAAAAAAAACAGTCAGAAGTGGAAAAGGTCACAAACAACTTAGCCAGTGGAAGTTCACAATAATCAGAAGAACAAAATGAAAGAACTACATTTTTTTTGTGTAATTTTAATCCATTATTTAAAAGAATACGTGGCCATGACAGCAGAATTATAGGCAAAATTATAACCTGCATTTTGCCACATGACATCTCACCTGCCAATGTCGGTCGGTTTTGACACGGTTTAGGGAGGCAGACCTCCAAGGAAGTTTATTAGATCTGTCTTTACACTGAGCTGAAGGGGTACCTAGACTCTGGAAGATATGGGGTGCAGAACATCTCTGTTCATCTATCCTTGAGCCCTGTGGGAGGAAAACTGGATTAATTGCTGTAATGTTGGATCAGCAGCTGGATGTACTGTTAAACATATTCTGTATCTGTAAAAAAGTTTAAATACATTGTGAAACAAAATGAATGCAAAGAAAATCCCGTCAACTTTTCACAGTTATTACACATTGCTATGTATGGAGCCAACCTGGACTTTAGAGACCATGTAACATAAGTAGCTGGCATCCATCTCTGCAGCAGTTGATGCTGATGTGGTACCTCCATTCTGTATTCCTGGCAAAGAAGGAAGAAAAACCCGTTGGTCATCAAGCCGTTGGCCCTGAAAGTCAGCCAGCAGGTTGAAGAACTTTTCAGAATCTGGACCCAGGAAGGTAAGAAAAGAGACTACATGTTACTACCTGAAAAACATGAAAGGGCAATGAAATTATTATTGTAAAACTTTAAATACAAGGGGAAAAACAGACAAGGAAGCATGGTTGTAACCTAACCTTTGGGTGTGGTGGTCTGACTGGGTCTGTGCTTAGGTGTGGACTGGGGACTAACATGTAAGACACATCGCTGTTGATCCAATTGCTCATGCTGGCAATGAGTAGAAAAATCAACATCTTCATCTGCAGTCAAGACCTAGACAGAAAGAAGCATAAAGAACATATTTAGGTCAGTAAATGGTTTGTTTGAAATATAAATTACTTGAGCACACACAAGGGAATTCAGATTGCAGGTCTAAGACCTTACTGATTTAAAATGCAGATATTGTCATTTCATGTAATTTACCTTCTGCTGTTAAAAATGACAACGACTTGAGCAAATACCTCCTTTTGATATGCTGTATCTTCAGTTTTTGATTCCTCTGTGTATGGGATGGGGCTGAAGGAGGCTGAGCTTGGAGGGACCAATCCAGATGCAGCCTTATCCTTTTGTGTTGAACACTGGGTCTCCAGGGTTGGGATTTGAGGTAGTGCACACCTTTGGTCCTCCAGTCTGGTATCCTGAAAATTAATCAGGCCAGCTTTTCTCAGCATTTTCAATCAGGAGGCACATTTTTATGACAGTTCTAGAGAGCACTGAGTTAAGGGTGGCTTCATGTAGGAATGTTCTTATATTAGCCCTATAATGTGGTACTGTCAACTGGTTTGAATTTTACAAATGGAAAATTACAGCTCTCAAAAATCATCCTATGTGAACAGTCCTTATGATGATAACATGATTTGAAATTTCCATAAAAACAGACTTTGAAGCACTGTACATCAAAAACACAAGAGTGAAACTGCTCTTTGGCTTTTTGTACAATCCTACAAATTACATTTGTGTAATATTTTTGTTCAGATTCTAGTTTCATAATTGTGCAAGATTTAAAGCCAGAGCTGATTCCATCAAAGTATTTGGTGCTTTTATCAACAGCCATTAAAAATGTAAAAAATTTTAGTCTCTGAAAAGAGAAGTACTAACCTGGACTTTAGAGACCATGTAACACAAGTGGCTAGAATCTCCTCCTGCAACAGATGTGGCATTTACATTCTCTAATCCTGGTAATGAGGGAAGAAACACCCGCTGGTCGTCAAGACGATCACTCTGAGTGTCGGCCAAAAGACTGAAGAACATTTCATTATCTGGAAGATGTGATGTCAAAAGAAGTGAAATAGTTAATAACTAAACAGACAACATTATAAGTGAAAATGAATCTTCTCTGATCTTTTGGGAAGAAATAGTCAGTTAGAGGCAATTGCAAGAATAGCAACACGCTTTTATAAAGGTTTAGAGATTTATGAGTACAGTGCACCTGCATTTAATGTACTAACTACATGCTTTCTGTGTGTGTGTGTGTGTGTGTGTTTGGGTGTGCAAGGAGCACTCTTACTAGGATCCAAAGAACAGCGCTGGTCCTCTATGCGTCCACGCTGGCCATGGAATATCACATTCATGAACTTTTGTTGGTCATCAGGTGATTCCGCCTATTGGACAAAAACAATGTGATAAATGGGTGAGCAAATGATAATCAAATCAGTAGAAGAAATCCATAATGATGATAGCAATCAGAATAAAACACAGACAGAACCGACCATTATGGAATGGGAGTGGTCATGTTGAGAGGGAACTTGTAATTGGTTGGATGGTCCCAACAAAAGCTTCCTGTTTCGATCTGAAGTACTTTCAGGTACAGCCTCATCTGAGCCATGATGCCTATTGCTCCTGGGTTCCTGAGAATACAAGTCACAATAGATTTTCATTTATTCATCACACCACCTGTGCAGGTCCATGCACTCAGCCCTTGACAACTTGTAGTCTAGTACCTGGTAGTTAAACCCTGGCAATGACACCTGCAGGTCATCAGTGTATTGTCCCTGGTTGTTGTCCAAGGCATGGAAGGACTCCTCACAGTTTGAACCTGCAGGGGTTCAGGGGTGAAACAGTCAACAATCAGTCTACAAATCAATGTAACAGTGCAGGTGTTTGTGGTCTACTATCCCAACCTGCATGTGTAGTTTTGATTTGTGTGGTTTTAAAAGGACTTGAGGTGCAATGCTCTTTATCCATTCCATGCTGTGAGTAACTCCTTATGTTGAGGATCCGCTCCTGTTCCTGTTGAACGTTAAACAAAAGAACAAGTGAATGTTATTCCCCTTGGCACTAAATTAACTGCTAATCTAAATATTAAAACAAAAATGATCATTCTTTTTACATGTTCCAATATCACAGCAAAAGTCTGGCAACCCATGTTGAAGATCAATGTAAAACAATGTAATGGATTACAGTATATTACATGTAAAGAAAGTGATAAAATACATGTTACAGAAAAGAATAAACACAAAATTACCTTATTTACTTCTTTTGATTGCTTTCTATAACTTAGATATAACTGTATAAACATTTCTATAATAAACATAATATGAAACAAGAACCAAATTTCAAAGGTAAAAATTTACATTATGCTACAAAACCCCTACCAGCACAGTGTCGGTGGCTTCTGATTTTAAATCCATCTCAGCAGCTGCAATTGTGAAAAATTACAGAAACATTATGGAGAAAAAAAGCTGCCACATACAAGGGAGAAGGTTCTCAATAGAAAACTGTACTATATGTCCAATAGAAATGACTATTCCAATTGATGCTACTCCAACTGTGTACTGGATATAACTCGGTGGACGGCTTTTAAACTGAGTTAAATCCAGAACATTAACCTGTTGGCTTTAAGACCCCAGCTTGTGCCCTATTCTTAAAATTACCATTTGTAATCCTAGATAAAAAGATAATCCCCACCATGGAAAGAGATAATCTTTTTCACTGGTAAATGTATGTTTTCCCATTTGATATGTTAAAGTTTGTTTGCATTTTGAAGCCAACACAGTCACTATGTGTGACTTATATGGAGATGGTATTGAGATGAAGAAACCCACCACTTTTGTAATAATCTCAATATATCAGTAGAATACACAGAATTTTTTATTTATTTTACTTTGTACTGCGTTCATTTCAATGGGTGATTATGAATGCGGAAGCAAGGTCAGAGGCACACACTGTAAAATGTGGTTAAATAAACCACTAAAGTCAAAAGATATACACAATGATTAAAAATTCTGAGCATGGAAGTTCATTGTGTTTGGGACTAGCAAATAAGAAAGCTTGTGTGTGGACAACAAGTTGAGGATTAGTTTTATTACACAATAACTTTTTAGGCAATTGACAGTCTACATTATACTACAACACAAGAGTGGTATTATACTACACACAAGACAATTTAGACTGAATATTAAGTTTCTTTTATTATTCACTTTTAACAAAGAAACAAACACCCACCACTCAATCCCAGCAATATATTAATGTAAATATGCAAGATATCATAAGACAGCAGGTAAGACATTTTGTCTGAGATTAAACTTCCCAGCAGCGATCGGGTACTAGAGGGAAAAGGGTATTAGACATTTATGTCATTGAGTATACCATACATACTGCTACTGGCTTACATACATCTACACTATACTTGAATAAAACTTCTGATAAGTGATGACCCAGTTCTGAAGAAGTAATGCATTTTATACATGCAATTATGCAAATCAGGCAAATATATAGTAACAAAAATAAGATTGATTCAGAATGGTAAAATAATAATGTCTAATTAAATATTTAAGGCAATTTCAAGCAGTACACAGAATCCAAGTCACATCAAACAATAAAAAGAGCATTCTAAAATGAAATAAAGATTTGTGAAGGCGTCCTTCCATGGCTACATCTAAAATTTCTCTTCAGGTTTCATGTCAGAGCTGCTGTGAAAGAAGAGCAGCAACCACTTATGTTAAATGAAAAGAGCAAACCCTCATTCCAGTGTGCTACCTGTTCAAGATATAAACAGTCTAACAATCAGGATTAGGAACTTGGTCCAGACTCTTCAGATCATTAAGGAAGCTGGTCGGAGTCAGGATGTGAGATGATCCTGTCAAAGAGAAAGTCACACTTCCTTTAAAAAAAAACAAGAAAGAAGCTAGACATCTTTATTGTTGCACTTCTGAAAGAAGCAGGTACAAGTGCTGTGGCCTTTTCAACAGTGATTACTTACCAATCAGAACTTCCCATTTCCCATCAGTGGCTCGAGTGACTTCATAAGCAGAACGCATCTCTGAGTGCGACACCCCACCAATCACAAATATAATAAGCCGAGGCCCAGAGCGATATTCCACTGGAGATTTACTTTTGTGCCATTGTCCAAAACGTGCACTGCTGTAAAAGAATTTCCACAGTAACTTAGCAACAATGATTATTTCTGAGCAGTTTGATCCACCATTACTCCTATCCTTTTCTAACAATAGCAACTAACACAAATGTGACAAAATGCTCTCTTTAATAAAATACTGCCCAGAAACGAACCCTGAAAAACAAATGCAAATGTAAAAATTCTAAAAAAATATTGCCCAGAAACGAACCCTGAAAAACAAATGCAAATGTAAAAATTCTAAAAAAATATTTTTTTTCTGGTGGCAGTAACCTTTGCTAATCAGTTCTATAATATTAGGTTCAAATTAACCTGTTTTCCAACTTCAATGACCGGTTTTATATAGTCAGCCCCATATACCATAGCTAGCTTAATGTATATTCTGGTGTTAATATTAATGACAACTCACTTTAATTCTGTACTTTGCTAAAGTAAAAAAAGAGGAAGAAAAGCATTGTGCATTATGCAGATTATGACTGAACCCTGTCCATCAAAGTGGTTTTACAACATGAAGGGAATTCCCTGGGGCATTAAATTAAAGAGTGTTCAAAGCAAAACTGGATTATTTGAACCTTTTCAACTCTGACTCACTTGGTTAAAAGCTTGGCCCCAACTAAGTTACATGGATAAAAGCTTTTATTTGACAATAATCTGCTACCCTGGTTAATTTCAGTTGCTTAAAAAGGCAAAACTGACTATTTTTCAAATTTAACTAGGAACAAGTGCACTTCATGCAGGAAAAAAAATATTCTGTTTCCAGCACCAACCTGACTTCAGTTCGAGTTGTATTGATAGGAGCAGGATCAGAAATGAATGGCCATTGCTTCTTGTCCAGTTTGTCCTCTATGACATTCTGCAATACAGAAACACAGATGGTGTACAAAGCTGAAAGCAAAACTGAGCAGATGTGCCAGCCATTTTGGTATTAATACCTCCATGATATCTTTGATGATGGGTGTCCATCTAGAAAGCTGGTATGTGCTCTCCGTGCGCTCTTTCCGCTCAGGCAGTGTTTTCCCAGAATTGCGGCCCTAATAACAGCATGACTTAATACTAAGGAAATTAAGTTTGAGTACATTACAATCACCAAGCTGCATGCAGAATATTTACCCCAGCTATAATGCTACAGCCCAGGTTCTGCAGATTGGTAATGATGTTGCTGTCAGCCTGTATGTTTGCATGCTGGATGAGCTTGGCAAGGTTCTCCTCCCCGATGCCTACGTGCATAAAAAAAAAAACAACAACATCAACTTTACTTAAAAATGGTGGGTCATGACTTCCTGCTATTAACTACATATCAAAGGTTCCTGTTGTGTTCACCCTTCTAAAAGCATCCCCCTGCATGTACACAAGTAGGCTTCTGTGTACACAGAATGGTCAAGCGCTATATTAGTTAAAAGAAAAAGAGTTCTAACAAGAGCCCACCTTTTTTCTTGTGGAATATGTAGAGCAGTATGATGCGGATTTTGTCATAGGCCTCGATTTCTTTGTCAAGGAGCACAGGAACAATGCTCTTCATGGCATCTTTTACAATTTCCCCTTCTGCATTTGCTCCCATTGCCAGGTCCTGTGAAAGACACCCAGGGTTGACTATTAACCTCTATGGAATCCAATTACAACTCCAGTCAGCTGACAGCCAGCTCACAGGGCAGCTGACACAGAATGAGCTGCTTCTCAACCTCAAACCTATTTTCTACCACTTCCTATTTCATGACCATGTTATGACTCTATGAATACTGCAATAGCACTACTACTCTTTAAATGCTAATACTGGTGTAACACGCACTGTAAACTGATCATTTTAGCAATCTCAGAATTTTTTTAAATTCACTATTTATTAACTTCAAAAAAGCAATTTCAGAAAATGTAATTTTTTTTTTCCCACTGAGCAGAAATAAAATAAATTTGAATTAAAAAAAATAAAATAAAGCAAACACTGGGGTACTTAACTAGCTCTAGGATTTCCTTTTAATGCAACCCTAGACACTGTGTGAGCTCCTTAAATCTCTTGCTAAGCTTTATGATGAATTTAGACTCGTTAGAGCCAATCAAGAACAAAACCTTCTGTGAGCAACTAAAACTAGACAGTTGGTAGAAAGGTACATTCAAACACAGTGTCATTTTCTTTACAGCACAGATACATTTGTAATGGGTTGCCCAAACAATGTAGAAGGCTTAAACAAATGACAGCTGACAGGGAGTTATTGCTGTTCAGATGACACGGTCCATCTAAGAGCCAAAACATGCCCACTGGATTAAAGAGATCACTTTCAGACATGCTGACAACCCATTAGTGTAGTCGAGTGATCCAGATACAAACATTTGTATGTCATAATGGCATAACCATGCATAGCTTTCCTATGTGCTTATAATTCATCTGATCCCCTCAGGGAGACAAAGCATGTCTGGCACATACAAATAGCATACTGGGGCTTGGCACTGGTCAGGATGGTGACTTTATCCCATTGTGTTGATGAAAACATTAACGTGTTTCTTTTTATACCATCAATTGTGAGAGACAACAGCAGCTTCATTCATGTCATTGCCTTAAAACTATAGCTAAAATGAAGAAGACCTCCACAGCATAAGCATAAAAAAAAAACACATTATAAATATGTAACTTTTTTGATCCGCTTGTTGTCAGAATGTTGATGATACTGTTAAAACATGAATCATTTACAATAGCCTACAAGAGTACTGACCTGTTCCACTTCACAAAGCTTATCAAGAGAGGTCTTGAATTTCTTCATACAAGCTTCAGCTAGGTGCAAGTGAGTAGAGTACTGTGAATGAAAATACATAAAGATTATTTAATTCAATATTGTGATGCATAAAACATTATTTCAAAGCTACAAGCAAGAGTGACAAATTTGAAGGGAAATAAAAATCAGTGCTTTGTATAGTCCAACAATCCTTGAACAATACAATGAGTTTACAACAGAAAAAATTCAAAAGATGGCTGTTCTGCATGCCACTGACCATGCTCAGTTCCTTCTGATACTGAGGCATCTTCTTTAATATCTGAGAGAGATCCTTTATGTTGGCCTGAAGTGCAAAACATTTGATCAAAGTCGCATCATAACATGAAAATCGACTTCAACGTACATCACAGTCATCTGTAATAACTGAACCAAAATAAGCACTGCACATGAACACTCACATTGTCAGTGCACATCCTCTTGCTCTCACAAAAGTTGCGAAGAAGCTCTGTCACCTTCCTGCAGCAGTAGGTGTGGAAAGTTTTTGTGCAGTTATAATGAGCAAGAAAACTGTAATCTAGTTGAACACTTTTAGAGCGATCACCTTAAAAGATCTGACGCCTACTGTACAAAATAATTCTACTCTTTTCATTATTCTCCACCAAATATGATATTATGATCCAACTTACTACTTTATTATAATGGCAAAGTATAACTTAACATTTCTAACTCTGAGAATGCACAGAAAGTGAAGTGTGTGTTTTGAAGTGTGAAGAATGACACCGAGACTGAATTATGTGAAGATCTGAGAGATTCACTCGTTTATCTGTGACAGACTTACTTAGTAACATCTGCGATGTGCATATGTCGGAGCTGCACCCAGAGCTCATCATCTTCATCCAGTAACACTTCTCTCTCTTTTGAATTCCCAATGCCAGTTGTCTGATAACTTCAATAAATAAAACAAGCATCCAACACAAGCGAGTAAGGAGAAATGGTACTGCAATAATCTTACACTATTTGGACAAAGCAGATGAAGAGCAGTCATTATAAAATAAGAAGTTAACTCACGTATAGATGTCCTGTTTAATATCAAGCAAGTCATGGGCCATTGCCTGGAAGGTCAACTCATGTAGAATTGGAGAGATGGGATCAAACGCACGATCGACAATCAATAGCTGGGACCGTGCCTTATCTGCACCCTAAAAACAAAGAACATATGGGATATCATCTAAAACTCATGAAAGACTGGATTTTTTTTCACAGATGCATAATAAATGAGAAGCTGGTCTAGTAGACATAAAATATATGGCCCTCTATTATGTTTTTGTGAATTTGTCATGCAGTGAAGTCTCATCGGCTTTTATCTACATGAGTTCAAAATTACTGTCTGATGCAGCATGAGTTAGCACTTGAGGAAACCTAGAATTTCAAGGCCAGTAAAACATTTAAAAAAAAATAGACAGCACAACATATCGATGCACTCCAAAGACAAAAGAGAATAGTAATACATGCCTGTTAAGACCCATCTCAAGAGCAAGGAAATGTCAGCTAAGGAAGACAGAAAAGGAGAAAGGAAAAGGGACAGTTCCAGCAAAGCATGAGGAAAAAAATAATCACCAGAAACTAAAACCAAGAAATCACAGAAACTTCCACAACCTGTGAAGGTGAAAAGCTGCAGAATCCCAAAAGAAGTGTATTCTCTTATATGGAAAGGTTGGTTTAGCAGAAAAAAGCAGTTTAAGAATTCAGCTATTATACAGTACTTACTAACCTCTCCCATACTTGGGTTGTCAGCTTTGTGAGCTATAAGGCGCTGGTGGACCTCCTCGGCCAGTCTAGCATTCTCCTCTGGTCCCCTAAGAGAAAGCGTGGTATACAACAGAATCAGCAAGGAAATCCAGTGGCAAACCAATTCCAGTGTACTTCCACACAGCGCTTACATACTTGCGGTAACGGACTGCAGGGTACTCCTTAAGCGTGTCACACAGGGTCGCAATCTGCTCTGCCAGATTTTCCATCATTTTGTCTCTGTCTCCGCTTGGTTTAGAACTATAGAAGGTGTGCAAGGAGGTTGGGTCATCCAGTGAGAACACCTACAGGGGTGAGATGAACTGAGGTTTTACTCACTTTGTCCGTATTATGTTTGCAGCAATCAAGCTGCACTATGCAGTATTTTTCTATTAATACTGGGAAAAAACACTGTGTAAAGTGACAGATGTCACTCATAGCAATAAACCCACAGAGATGTATGATGCCGCCATTTTAGCATCTTTTAGCTCATTGTTTTGATTTAAAGGCCAAGGACTTTCCTCTTTAGTTTCACTCTTGATTCCTTCATCAACATTGTTTCCAGCACCAGAGGCAGGAGTTAAAGTGAAAAGGCTCTGATAAACCCACTGTATGCCAACTGCTCAGCACCAAAACACACAAGATTAGTAACTAGCTGATGAACATAGTAGAGTATTTAGCAGCTACAGTCAGACTATTTTCTTATGAGCTATTGTAAACCAAACCACAGCTAAACCAAAGTTAATAAAAAACTGTGTAGTGGTTTAAGTCAAATGAAGTTATGTTCTTACCTGAGACTCATATGGCAGAAAAGCAACATTGATCTCTTTTAAAGTCTTGACGACCTTGGCAACTCTTGATCTCCCAATTTCAGCAAAGAGACCATCTGGACAAGCTATGGAAACCAAATAATAATAATAATAATAATAATAATAATAGACATGGTGGCAATAGTTTAAGATAATTCTTCATTATATTTTGAAACGTTTTGCACGTACACAGTATTTTAAAAATAACAGTCAAGTTTCTTACAGGTTTAAACACTGTCAGTAGAATTTCAGCATGACAATAATGATGCAAATATGCACTGTACACACACAGACACACACAGACAGAAACTCTTACTGTCAGTGAAGAAGATATGTGCTGCTTTGTAAGTAAGGGCAGCATCTCTGAAGTCGTTAATGAGAGCACGAACAGACTGTAATTGAAAACAAATTTTTAAAAGATTTAGAACATAACAAAATCATATTATAGAGAGAACTACAGAGAAAAGGCAACAGCTAACCTTCTCCACAGGGGAAATCAAATAAATGGCCTCCAAACTAGAGATGGGCTCCCTACGTTTGTTGATGTCCTCCACAACTGAAACAACAGGAATTTGAATTAAATCTAAGCAATCTGACTTCACCAATATCACATGTAAATGCAAATAAAACATCATTAAGAATGGTACAATAAATGTGCTGCCAAAAGTTAAACCATACTTGAAACAGTTATCTGGTGATCTTTCATGTGTACAACTGATCCAGGGGATGTAAGACCATTAATTATCTGCATACTTACTGGTCACACCCTCTGCCAAAATGTCAGACATCTTGCAGCAGGAGGACAGAATTCGCATGCTCATGTGATCCACAATAAGAACCTGAAGAAACGTGAAATAAATAGGGTTTACAAATTCACTGTGACAAAATCAGGGAATTTCTTAATTCTTACTGAGCAGCCATTACCTTCCATTCTCCATCCTTCTTCACACTCTTAATAACCCCATTAAGGATTTCTGTAGAAAAGAATAAAAAGATTCATATAGGACAACAAAACTGTCAATACACTGCTCCGCACAAAGGATAGGTAAAACAGGTAACAAGTATTGGAATTTTCTACATGGAAATGCTGTTTGGAAAACAGAAGTAACACAACACCATAATATGTTATGTAATAGCTAGGATTCCAAAATCTCCCAGTTTTGATAGAGTATTCATTCAGTGTTTACAGTGTTTCCTCTCTATCAGATATGATAAAAGAGTGGCATTTAATCTGTTGTGTGCTAGTGGCTAAAGAGTAAAGGAACACACGTGGCTTAACTGAAATAATGCTGATGCCTATAGTTTAATGACTCTCGAGATAAAACAGCAAGTGAAATGTTAACTTGCTCTCAACTCTCATTGTATTCACTGTAAAAGTAATATTTGGTTTTGGTGGGGTTGCTAAATATGTCAGTGGGTTTCTGAGTCAGGACTGCCGAACTACTATCTAGCCTGCACTTACAATTAACAACATCAACAGAATTGTAATAAAATGTCATAGTACGGTAGATAGATCTTATTGGACTTTATTCTGGCACTGTTTACCTGCGACAATGACCGATTTTATTTGGCAATGTCAGTGATAACAAGAGAGAAGGCCTGAACAATCCCATGCTTAAACTCAGCTTGTGTGGACATCAGTTTTTTTCCCAAGCACCACTGGGATTTCTAACCCCTCTTCCTGATTTCCTACATGCAGCTGTACAAGCATGTGTATTGAAGGATATATTCAAATTACTGGCAATTTAAAAGAAATAAAGGATCATATTCCAAAACTCACAAAATCAATAGGTAACAGGTGTGATACAAGCGAACAGCAAGTGGGTAAGGTCTGGGTTACTTGTAATACCAGTTCACACCTCAAGATTTCAGCAATTCAAAGTATTGGGTGAATTCACACTAGGAATGCTCCTTAATCTATATAATAACTAAATTTACGGCCTCAAACGTTTCATAACTGTTGACAGATACATTAATAAGGTTGCATGTTCAAAGACATTTAACCTTAATGTTGTTGAAGCATTCAATTCCAATACTCATGATATCATAAGAATTTATCATGTTAAATGTTAACATTACCATTGCATAGTAATAGTTGGCTCTGTAGAGACCTGTGAATAGACATGCCAATGTATTGATTGATTATTATTAGGCTCATAATTAAAATTATTATACCTAATGTGTTGCAAGAAATACTTTGAAAGAATTATTAATTCTATAACGTACTGATAGTTACCTTGAAAACTATGGAAAGCGAATACTAAATTAACATCCAGAGTAAGAGAAGAGAGTTGTTCTGTTAACGTTTCAGCTAAATTAGTCCATCACAAGCGAAGTTACCGAACTTCCTTAGACGGTTAGCTCGTATACGCTAGTCATAAAACTTGCACTGTCACAACATTTCCACTCACTAACGCAGATTTTTATCTTTTCACATCCGCCAGATGTCAGCGCAACAAACCACCATTTCCCCTCGGAATATGTTTTTACACACACAACGCAGCAGCAACAACAACAACAACAGACCTACTACTTTTTATCCACGACTCTCTGAGCGATGACATTTCCTTCGGTAACGTTAGCATTTTAACTGGGACTGGAGCAGGAAGAGAGCTGTTGTGGACCGACGCACCCAGCAGGGTTTTATATATAACTTGAGCGTCATATTATGAAGCTGCTAAGAGATAAACTCGTGTAAAGTACCCGGCTCTTTTAATTGTAATAAACTTCTGAAAACAGATACATTACAACGAACGTGCCACTTACTTTCTCCTACAACCGCCTTCAACCCACTCGGTGCCATGTTTGTAGCAGTCCTCTGGCTAGCCCAGCCACTTCCTTGTTGTTAAAGCCCGTTACGCTAACCTGTATAATAGAAGCGCACAGCTTTTAATAGAGAAATACTGCCCCCTACTGTCTGACACCACTATTGCATGAGCACATATTACTGCAGTTTTATTTTGGAATTACACAGTTCATCAGTGGAATATGAAAACAGGAAAAATGTTGGAAATATTTGTTAAGCTGAATTAATTCTAAATAGATTAAAAGCAAGTACAGTTCCTGGCCTTTTGCTAAAGATCCACTCCAACTAGTAACTATATTAGTTTTTATTTATTTGTTTGTATAAAAATGGACCGTTTATAAAAGAAAGGCTTATATGGTTTTGCATCTTTTTGTAGGCCTAGTCATACTTGTTTTGTGTCTCTTTGTGGTTATTTTGCATTGATTCTTCATCATTTTGTGTTTTTATAGCTTTATATTTTCCACAGTATACTGCATACTATCCTATTAAATAATAAAATATTACATTACCATGTTTTCAAACAAGACATTCTAAATGAATGGCAGCTATCAAGATGAAACAGCTGCAAGAAAGAACTACACATTCTCTCTTCCAAGTGTCTTGGGTGACACTGTGGGACATCCAACTGGCTGCTTTTCACTGCTGTGTATATTTGAGGTTATCATATGACGTACCTTGGGAAAAACATGTCATCACTTCATTATGATCAGCATGATTGCCATCAGGACACATCCTAGACATAAGACTATCTGGACGAGACCAGCACAGCCCTCTCAGCTACTGTATATTCATACTCCAGACATCATAGATGACTGATCTGAGGAGGCCCATAGTGTAACTGTAGGTTTGATATGCCATATTCAAAACTATTTTTGAACTGTTATTCTTTAGCATGTGTGAGCAAGAGTTAGCTCCTAAAACAAGCAACACTTTAGTCCCCCTAATATACCCAGGAACACAGTGTTTTGAATTGTTATTCTAGAAACTACACTGCCAGTCAAAAGATTAGACTCACTTTCCCACTGAACTGAATGGGATAGTGTGTCCAAATGTTTGACTAGTAGCTCTTGAGGAATATTTTCAGTTTTTTTTATATTCCAGACCTTTATATTATCTGCCCTGTTCCAGGAGGTATGTAAGTAAAAATCAGTATAATTTAGGAAATATAATTATGTGAAGAGCAGCCTCATGCATGGTACTGATGGTTAAAAAGAAAATATGTAAGGTTAACTGTTACACAGTCAACAAAGTAGCAGAAAAATACAAATACCTTTTACAACAAATACTTTATTTACCCAGCTTAGACAGAGCACAGTAAATCACACCTTAGAGTTGCTTAATAAATCAACCAATCAGGTGAGATGCCTTGCCCAAGGGCACCAAAATGATTGGTGCTGAGAAAGGGGTGAGTGTTATTCACATTGCATTTTGGTAAAAATGCTTCCTGCTAGTCCTATGGATCTAATACAGCAATCGGCGTCCCACAAGGTGAGATCTTTAGCCTGAGATGAGCTCATCAGCAAAACGACCAAGATGGCTTGTGAAGGTAGAGATTACAATGAATGCAATAAAATACAGACATATCACAAAAGAATGCCCGCTGTATGTGAACTGTGATCTAAAGGAAACTTTATTTTACAATAAGTTTATGACAGTAACTGCAGAGTTGGTGATTAATTACCTTGTTTTGTACGTATGCCTAAATTAAATCAGTTTATGCAGATTTGTTTCATGCTCAGTGTCAAAATGTCTGCTTAATCCACTACAGTCTGCATGATACTAAACACAAATTCAAAGGGGGTGAATACAGGTTATAGGCACAGCATCTCACAAATAAATCACAACAGTTAAATTAAATGCAAGTGAATATATAACTCAAATAATTCATAGCAACTCAACTGATCAGACAACAAAGAGCATTTTGGCATTGGAAAGTCACATGAAAAAGTCAAATATGAAAATTAAATATATTATTACATGTTAGGCTTTATTAATCCTCAAAAACACCCAACACATTTTTGGGATGTGATAACTCCAGAGATTTTCAGCAGTCTCACTCCAGTTTAAGTTTTCTTTGCCCAGAAGAAAAAAAAACCACAAGATAACCCACTATCAGTGGTACTGAGAACTTATGCTTCCACAAATAATTCTCAGTTCTCAGATTCAGAACGCTCTTTCAAAAGTTGCTGCTCCCAACGAACACGCATTCGCTCTTTGAAGGCCTCCAATTCTTTCCTCTGAAAATACAGCACAATCATTATGTACAGTACAGTAGAAGTTTTAAAAATACTTCATTACAAGCACTGCACTTTATGAAGTTTTTTTTAAAGATAAGGAAAGATGAAAACACATTGTTCTAAATACAACAATGAATCTTGATAGAAAGTTTGAGAAACAAAGGAGTTTTCATACAAATGCAACTTTAAAAAAAAATGTCAGTTTGATCTCAAATTAGCATGATCATAAATATTAAGCTGCAAAAGGAAGCTCCACAATGAAGTGCTCTGATAACCTGTATTCAGTTTTACTGTACTGTTTATTGGTTTGTTTGTTTTAAGATGATACGAGGAAGTACAACACCAATTCCAAATATGTAGGGATACTGTGTAAAATGCAAATAATGAATGCAATGACATGCAAATAATTCAAAATCTATATTTAAAACAGCACAAACATATTGAAATAAATATGAAATTCAATTAAATATTGAAGTTGGGAATATAAATGTTTAATATGTGCTCATTTTTAATTGGATGCTATCAGCACATTTCAAAAAATTTTGGATGGAGCATGTTTATCACTGTGTTGCATCATCTCTTCATTTAATAACACTCTGTGTTTGAGAACTGAGAAGACCAGTTGCTTTTGTTTTGAAAACTAAATGCTTGTCTTTCTTGCTGGACATAGGATTTCTGTCCTTTTTTGTCCTATTTTTCACTTTATAATGTGCCAAATGTTTTCATCAGTCCCTTGCCTCTTTAGCCTGGATGACATGACATCCATGATTTCATTTCAAAAAATAATTTCACATTTACACTCACTTTTTTTGCATGGTAGAGTTTTCATTTGTATTTTGGATCCAGTAACATACCATGTTCATTGATGATAAGAGGTTCTGATCTGATCAGGTGTTCCTGAGCCCATTAACTGATTTCAACTACAGAATTATGCCTGTTTTTAAAGCAGTGTACCCTGGGGGCCTGAAGATCAGTCATTCAGTACTGGTTTTCAGCTTTGTCCACTGCTTAGAGATTCTCAGTATGTTTTAATGATATTCTGTGCTGTACATGAGGGAAAACTCCAAACCCTTTGCAATTTTGAGCTGAGAAATACTATACTTAAACTGTTGAACTATTTGCATCATACAAACCAAAAAGTATAAAATAGATTATTTTTGACATTAGATATCTTATCTTTGCACTGTTGCCAAATGAAATATGTTTTTAAAACATTTCATTCCGTTTTTATTAACAATTTACACAGACTTCCATAAAAAAAAAAACAACAAGGTTGCAATAATGTGAACAATATGGCAAAAAAGACAAAAAAGCTTCGCACAACGCATAACAGAAGAGCAAAGAGCTGTCAACTGCAAGAGAAACTGATAATCAGTAAAACTGGACCACAAGTATTTGGGGTAGTGAGTAGTGAATATTTAATCACTACCACAAAAACTTTTTATGCACAGTTTGGACTTTAAAAAGATGAACTCTGTGTATTACACTTACTTGCTCCTCCTCATTACGGGGGAAGATCTCCCTCTGGATACCATAAGAGAAGCCACCACAGTAGAAAGAAAAACACATATGTTAATACAAGAACACCCAGCTCTCCCCTGAGTGGACCAATATGCATGATCAGGGGAAAAAACTTTACTTACTTTTCTCTTAACGACATACTCTTCAAAGTATTCGGGTTGATTTGAGATCCAGAACATGGCCACAGGAAAGGACAAATACAGCATCATCTGTACAAAGCAAAAACAAATGAAACAGTTGGTGAGTTGGGGTGTAAAACCACGGATGCACTGGTTAAGCTCATGATGATCTCTAGCTGACTGTTAGCTCGAAACACGACCGCTTTGTATAGTTTTAAACCTTAAGATCAACACAAATGAAATATCCAAGGGGGTGGTTTTAAAAATGGTTACTTACTCTAAACACCTCTAATTTAACACCCATTCTGCGCCGATTCCTGACTATCCGGGCCTGTAATACGTTAACTACACTCCAATCATCGCGATTGTTAGGTTGGTAAGACCTTCATAATGCTTCCGGGTTTGAGGAAAGGTCAACCTCTTGATAGTCACAGCGCATGCGCTAAGGTTACCATAGATAAATATTTTTTACACAGTCGAAAATGTACGTGTGACAGTTAGTTCCCACGCATGTTTTGCCTCTTAATAACATACATGGAGATATCTCGAAATCTGAATCGTACTTATTGTCTCTGCTGACTTTTGCTCTAACAAAGACAATGTAAACAGTTTGTCCACCGCGGGGCGCTACATACCACTGATTTTGTGCAGATGTCATACTTCATCAGAATCAGCTTTATTGGCTAAGTGTGTTGGGCACACGAGGAATTTGACTCTGGTACAGCAGCTCTCAGTGTGTATGTACATGTCCTTATGTAAGGCATTTTTAAAATGTGTAATACTGTGGTACCAACCTGTCCTTATGTAAGGCATTTTTAAAATGTGTGGTACCAACCCCGACTTTAGCAATCATGATATTCTAGTGAATAAAGTAACCCTAATTTTCGAAATAAAATCTTGAAATACAATGATTTTACCAAACTTTTGTAAACATCTGTTATTCAATAGTTTTTCTGTACTCTCGCATAAAGGATGTAAAGTTACATTACTCCAAAACTCTAAACAGAAATAGAAAGAGGTTTGCAAGACAACCACGTGTGTGTTTGGATTATGATAGTTGTAGCACAAGAGTACAAAACAATAACGACAACCAAGGTTATTATCTGTAGTGATACTTGATCTTTTTTTTAGTTTTCCAATTAAACATATTTTCTGTTTGATACTGACTAATTAAAATGCGCTGTCACTCTTATTTTCCATTACTACTTTGTCCCTGAATGTCCTGTTATATGTATTCAGATCTTTTACCAGTGTTCCTATACTCCGTACAAATAAACTTTGTCTCACTTGCCACTACAGTTGCAGTCCTTGACGCGCTTTTGACGTCCTCAACGAAGGATATACGTATGACGTCATCGACGACGAGAGGTGTTCAGGATCCTCGGAGAGAAAGATCCCGCGCGCCCTGACAACCTGATAAACCCAGGTAAACACCGTTGTTTTAAACATTATTGTACAAGTCATGTTGTCTCCATAAACTAAATGCGCAGACAGCAAGTGACATTGTTACAATGGTGTAATGGCATAAGAGTCTGGGCTGATGCCCGGCACACACTGAGACCGTTCACTTGTACGGCGGCCTGTTCTGGCTAGCTAGCTTGCTAGCTAAAGCTAGTTGGTAGTTGTCTATCAAAAGACACAATAACAGCACCTACACTGTGTGTCTGTCTGACATCTGTTGTTTGTCCCACCCGTTGCTGGCCACATTTACGCTACAAATAGACAAACAAATGGTACTATGACCACTGTGTTGGGCATCATTTAGCTAGTAGTTTGCTCGTCGACTGTCTTGTGTTGTGGAGACGGTGACGGCGATGATGGCGCACACTCACACCGAGGCTATTTGCTGTGAATGTAGTAAATATAGCAGATAAAAGTAAATATAAGTTTAATGTTCATTTTCCAAAGCTTGTTGCCATGATCTTAGAAACAAAACACCTCTGTATGCTTTCAGTTCTGCTATGCATGGAACTCACGTCCATTACGAAACCCTGGCGATAATGTGTATACCCTATGGCCTATCGTTTGGTTGTTAGCTTCTCGACGATGGTCGCTCGCCAGTAGTCATTGCTGTGCAGTTTATCGCTGTAATCCACATATGTGTGATGGCCCCTCTCCCAGACCAATTTTTGCGTCTGTACGGTTTGTAATTAATATGTCTGGGTATTACAGAAACAAAGCAGTGGTGGCATTCAGGCGAATGGTATGTTCAAACAGATTACTCATTTAGAGGCCCGTTACTTAGCATACTGTCCCTGTTGTTTTCAATGTGAAAGAAAACCTAGATTTTACTGTCGTGAAACGTGGTTTTGCATTTTGTTGATCATTACTATAATTTTTGGAAGCCCATTATGTAACAACATGCACATCTTTTTAAAGACAGACACTATCCTACCTACAGCAACATCCCTTTCTCTGACTAAAAGTGCATAAAATCCGAAGGTGAACTAAGACCGAAACTGAAAGCCATGTTTCAGTTCTGTGATTAAATTGTCACAGGTTTGTTATAAAAGGCGTTATCATTGTCTACACCTTTATATGTAAATAAAGAGGATAAATTGGGTCAAAGGGCATGCAGTTATAAATAAGCAGTAAATCAAACAAACAGAGAGCAGAGAGAGTTGTTAATCACGTTACTTGAAAAGACCTTTCCTAGCTGAAATACATCAACTACTAACTGCATGCAGATAACAGAACCAAACATTCACTGAGCCGAGCTATTAATTAGCTACAGACCTCAAAATAATAGCAAGGATTGTTGGTTTTTCTAAACATTGCCAGCCAGCGCAGATGCACTTATTCTACAGACTGGCTTGGGTAGACTGCGTCTTATACTGGAGAACGTACTTTTCTTGCCCCTGTTGATTTTATTTTCATAGAAAAGTTCCTCTTCTAGTTCTGTTCTATCTGGTTTAGTTGCCATGGTAACACCATCCTTGGCCTAGTTGTGAATGACCTCTGAATAAAAAGGAGTGTGTGGTCTAGGAACAAATGAGCGAGCAAAGAAAGTCTGTTCTGGTGTATATGCCTGTGCCTCATTTATCACATTTGAAACACTGGCAGTAGTGTCATGAGATGTACTACAGACATGTTTCTGCTACTATGTCGTATTTTATTTTTCCTTTATCCACATTAAAACAATGTGTTTGCGATACAGTGGCTGCCATTATGGTCAACAGTGCCAGTCTGTATGGGGTGAGACAGCATGTCCTCTTTGATACCTGCAGGTCCTTTATGACTATGGTAGGGACTAAAATTTCTTTGGGTTATATGCCGTTAATTATCTACAAAACACGTTCATGCGATACACCCACAAACATAAAGACTCTGTGTGACTGCTTTTTTTTTGGAGGTGATTGGTTGGTTAATGTAAATGCATGATTATTGTGTTTTATATATGTGCCTCACAAGGAAATGACTAGAAATGAAACGGTATGGAAAATTTAATAACACTATTATAGTGAAGAAAATGATCACAGTTATCATTATCACAGTATTGTGAAAATGTGCAGAAATACTGATATACAAACTGAAATAATTAATTTGTGGTGTTGTATTGAAAACAACAAATAAAATTAGCAGTGCTTATGTACTTTTTGGAGATGAGAACAAGGGACCCAGTAGCATTACTGGGTTTGCCTGCTGCATGTCCATTTTGTAAACTAGGGAATAGCAAATTTATTATTATTATTATTCTTTTTCTCACACATACAAACGCAGTCTGAAAGTATAATCACATTACAGCAGAAACACATGTCCCTTGTGCTGTGCGTTCCGAATGGGTCAGCCCTGAAACTCAGAAATTCCCAGGGGCACTGTACAAAATGGCTCAGCTACAATGCTAATGTTGCTATCAGTAGAGCCCCAATGTTTTGTTTTAGAGGATGAGACTGTCTTTTTAAACAGTCTTGGTACCAGCACTTATTTGTTGATGTTTTACTAGCTAAATAGGCTGTCTGTGTTTATCTGATCTTGACATGAGGATCTTATCATTGTACAGTTTGGGAAAATTCAGAAACGTTGGCTTGCATACTGTAACCTGCGGTTCTATGGGTGTAGGGGAAGCTAGGGTGAAACAATGATTGGCTGCATGCACAGAGGTCAGTGCAACCAGGTGTCAAAGTTAAACAAATGTGAACCCCTGCTCCACACCACCGAATTCCACGTAGAACCTATGCAGCGCACCATATACACAACAATGGCAAGGGACGCGCAAAAGCAGTTGTTCTGCTATAATGTGAACATACCATGACACTTAGGGTGTGTGCAAAATCGCGTACTACACATATGCACATTTTTCTGTCGAGTAACTACTACTCTAATGAAAATGCACTGCAGTCACTATACCATCTAGCAAGTACAACCCAGATGTTTATATGTGACAAAACCAGTTGCTCATTCTTCATTCATTCATCATCGTAGTAGTATAGCTGTCCCTGCTTACCTACCGGTGTTATAGAGGGTAAAATTTATGGTGACAGAGGCCTTGAGACTAAGTTTTATATGATTTGAACCAGCAAAATGTACATGTTATCATGTATAGGTTACAGAATGTGATAATATGAGCACAATAGCTACAGCTATGCCTGCTAAGTATAGTTGGCAGGTTAGAGCAGTAGCAGAGCCTCCACACATCTCAAACATTTAGTGGAAATTTCTAAATTTGCATTACTTGGATAGACTAACCATGTATTTGAAAACCAGATGGTTATTTTGTCGCCTGAAAATAAAAATCTAAATTTAATGAAGTGACATAATAACAGTCCTTGGACAACAATACTAAAGCCTGGCTGTGTGGCCAAATCTATGAAAACTGCTGGTGGTTCCAAATCTCTTCCATTTGAGAATGATGGAGGTCTTGGGCACTTTCAGTGCTGCAGAAATTTTCTTGTATCCCTCCACCGGATCTGTGTCTTGACACAGTCCTGTCTTGCAGGTCTACGGACAGTTCTCTCGACCTCATGACTTTGTTTTCACGCTGACATACCCTTCGACTGTGAGCCCTCATATAGACAGGTGTGTGCCTTTTCTACCTATATCCAGTGCATTAAATTAGGAAATGGGGGACTATAATCATAAAATGTGGAAAACTTTATATACTTTTTGTACTGACTGTATAGGTCACAGTTCTTTCATTGGACCCCCCTACCTCCTAAATTCCTACTTCTTGCAAACATAGCCATTTTGAACAAAAGTAAGTCTCAAGCCCAGGGAAATTTTTTTGTTCAAACTTTAGAACACTGCTTCCAGAGCTACAGAATGCATTACACAACTGATCACACAGGCTGGTACTTTCAGCGGCTTGAGGTCTGAAATCACTGACATTTGAGGCTTGAGGTCTGAAAACATTGGAGTGCCCCATAAAACTGACATGACCTTTCCTCACCCTGAATCTAGTAAGAAGACTGACTGTAGCATTTTACAGTGGATAAAGTCTGGCCAATATGTAAATCTGTACAGTACAGTATATTGAAGTTGTGACAATAAGGTGTGAGAAATGCTTGGATTACACTTTTCAAGTAGTTTAATGATGAGATTTTCTTGGTGTGTAAAGTAGACTACAAAATTATTCTTTGTTAGATTCAGTTGATGCTCAGCTAACAAAAGGTATTCTTTTCACCCCACACTGTTTCTTCTTTACCCAGTGTATAACAGCATTCTACACAATGTCAAGTTGGCAAATAGCCTGTTCCCTGTTTTCTCCATTTTGGGTCCCTGTAGATTTCTGCTGCTCCGCTGTCCTGATAATTAATGGAAGTGCCATCAGACTTTCTCGCAGTTTCATTTTTGTGTGTACTGCTGCCTTTTCTCTGACCCAACCCCCAGTCTAAATGCAACCCTCCCTCTCTTCTTCTCCTTGCTCTTACTATCATCCCTCCCTCCTGCGTCTGAATACGACCTCCCCACAGCCCACCCTTGCAGGGACATGGACATCAGCTCAGTCACCTCTGAACTGCTGTAGGCTGGAGCTTTTTCACTCTGCCTGCTGTTGTATTGTCTCTGAGAATAGTGCATATGGCACGTGGATGGGGAAGTGGGTCTGTAAGGATGCTGTCAGTATCTGGCTGCAGCAGAGAGGAGCTTCTGCTTTTTTCATTTGAGAAAACAGAGTGCATTGTGCTCACCAGTCACCTGGCAAATATACATTTCACAGAGTTGCTCTTTGCTCACCCAATGTGTTGGGGTTTGGATGTGTGCTTGTTTGCATCCACGTGACACTGAAGATTGATTGGGAGGTCAGTGATCAGATTGTTTGGTAGTGTATATTAGGTCCATAGACATAATGTGGTGGACACCCATATAATACTTTATGGTCTAAGGAGTTACATGAACTTGTAAAATGGCTGTAATGTCCACTCCTCTCACTGGCCCCAGGATTTGCTCATGTTATTGCTTGTAGAGACGTTAACAGGAGATTAAAAGTCTATTGTGTGTTCACAAATACAGATACAAAGTAGTTGGCAGTAGGCACTAGCCTTTCATTAATCTGTAGGTCTGGGAGTCTGTTGTATTAGGTTTGTAATTTTCATTCCCTGCTCCATATTTCTTGATGTTCTTGATGTATCCACCACCGACAGACACACCAACAATGGAGGTGATTTATTTACACACATCTGCTCGCTTTTTTTTGGTTTGTTTTTACATCCTGAAAACTGGTTAAAGAAATGTTGTAGAGAATTAGGAAGCCAGAGACCCTGCACATTTGTTTATAGTAAAAAAAAAAATTAAACAACTGTGTGCTTTAGTTTTTGCTGGAAAAAAAGGTGATCATGGTCGTTTTTTGCCTGGGTTTTCTTCGCACTGTCGGAAGATATTTGCATAAAGTTGAGCCTTTCTCAACTTCTCCCAGTAGCGTAGCTGGGTGATTGAGTCTGAGCTCAACAGGGGGTGGAGGGCTTCGAAGCCAGGTCTTACTCACAATAAATAGCAGCTGTCACTGTCATAGCTTTTTGAATCCATATGTGTAAACAGCCCCCCCACACCCCAGCGGGATTACGGGCAGCATTATCAGGTGGGTCGGATGACTGGTGCAGAGTAAACAGGGTCTCTGTATGTCACATCTGTCTCTTGACATTGTACCTTGATTTGTGAGCCCCACCTGGGAGTTATGCTTGCATTTGATTCCTAATTCTACCATCACTGCACAGAGAGATCCCTGTTTCTTTTAGCTTTTCAGGCATGTATTATGAGGCAGTGTTACTACCGCTTTCATATATGAGGCAGGATTACTCCCACTTTTATATTTTGGTAGTTATGGTACAAAAATGTGACTTGGTATTTACGTGACTCACTAAGAACTTGACTTTCAGTTTTGTGAATATTCAGTCATTTACAGATATGATCTGAACTGACTGTGGTCACTGTACTGTCATGAACAATTACTGGAGACTGCTATGCTACAGTGGGTGGTCTCACTTTTCACTCTTTGTCATACTTGCTGTTACTCTGTGCAGTTTTCCTTCACATCCTCAGCTGTTACTTGATGCGTTACATTATATACCCTATTAAGATTATTTACGTTTACCTACATTCTTAACCTTTACAGTGTCCATCCTGTGCCGTTGTGTAAGGTGTTGTTGGCAAAGTTGGGCTGATTTTAAAAATATTTGAAGTAATTTTAATCTCTTAAATTACAGTGGTGCAGTAATAATAGGTTTTCCTAAATATATAACCTTTTTGAATTGTAGTTAGGTTGGTACCCCTGATCAAGTTCTTCGCTTGAATTAAATGCAGCGAGTCAGTAAATTGGTGTTGAAAGGCCTATACAAGATCACTCTGAGGAGAGTGAGTGGGGGTGGGGCATGGTGAAGTGGACTGAGGGAAAGATAGGAAGGGGGTGGGGTGTTAAAGGTGTAACTGTGAGAGAGAGAGAGAGAGAGAGAGAGAGAGACAGAAGAGAGCAAGGACCTCAAGCTATTGATGGGGAAGTAGGGGAGGGGTGGCATGAGCAAGCGCGTGGGAGGGAGGGAGGGAGCTAGGGCTGTGTGGGCTGACACTGTGCTGAATGAGGAAGCAGCATAGCCATTTTTACTGTTGAGTAACTGCATGCTGGTCCGTCTGGGTGAGAGGGTGAGAGAGCGAGCTAGAGGAATAAAGTGCTCCTGGATCTTGTCGGAGCCCTCTCGCTCCTCTCTTGCCTTCCCTATTCCTCTTGTTCACCTCTTACTTGCCGCGTGTGTCCTCTAAGTTGGTAAGGCTCTGGGAGAGGACACACAATGGAGCGAAGAGCCTGTGGCAACTGGGCCGTTGTACTGCTGAGAGGGGGATGGGGTAGAGAGAGGACCGGTTCACACAGCTAACACAGCCTGCTGGCTGTAGGCTTACACAGCCTTGCTTGCCTGCCTGTATCAACTGTTTCCTCGCTGGGACTTTTTTCCTGGAACAACCACCCTCAAACTCTGCTTGGACCACATTAAGGATTACTCACCATATTCTGTGGGATTTTAGGACATATACTGCTGCCTGAAGACTAAATCTCTCCTGTGTTTGGCATGAGAGAAATGGAAAAACAAACTTCTCTATAATTCTTTGGAGCCCTTTTCTGTTTTTCGGTTTCTCTTTCTGTTTAGTGGCGTTCGTAAATGGATTACAAAATGCATGCCAAGTCAAACGATTTGCTGGATTTTCAGAAACTGGATGCACTTCTGGAAAAAATTGCACATTCAGTTTCTGTGAAAAGGTAAAGTTATTTGTCTTACACATATTTAACAGAGTCACTGAAGTCTTTATGGTTATATATGTATATAAAATCTGTTGAAATACATGGTTAATTAGCAGAGGACAAGACTAAATTTACAGACAGGTGTAGGTGGAGTTATGGTTCTTAGGACCATCATGTATTTAACCCTACTCTGGGGCTACATGGTCCAGTGCAGCTATCCACTTTAGAAGCATGTCTTCTGTGTTGTGTTGAGAATGGCAGTTTCCTGGTGAGAGGGGTTAGGAAAGGGGGTAGCTACAGGGGAAGAAGGGGGTTGTGTGTGTGTGTGTGTGTGTGTGTGGACTACTAGAAATGTCCCCTGATTCCTTGTAGGGTTTGGCTTGCTTATCCCAACCAGCTGGAAGTCTGACTTTTAGGAACTGGCATGATTCTTGCCTTTTCCTGTTATAAGCCTGACTCATAGTCTATTTCAGTCAGTTTGTGTGCTCATGCACTGATTCATATATAATACGTGCTCAGGGAACTTCTTTAAGTTTACCAACTTGTAATCAGTCTTGTTAGATTTATATCATACCAAACACAAATGTTAACAAACATCCCTGTTGTACTGATCTTGCACTTGACTATAAATGCACTAAAGTAGCACAGATTTGATTTGATTTGATTTATTCTTTCAAGCATGTAAAACAGTTGATATGACGAGACACATAATTTTACACATAATCCAATATCAATGTGCTTATACCTAGTACATGCTTGAATGGAGTAGGAAGAAGTCAGACTTATCCAGTCCTACCCCATGACATCATCTTACCATCATTGGTTTAGCCTGTTCTTGCATATATCTTGATTGACACATACCTTTATATTTATGTTTAAACTCGTCAATTCTATTACTGTTTTTTATGTCCACACTTAAATTATTCCATAGTTTTACCCCACTTATGGAAATACAAAATCTTTTTTTGGTTGTACGTATAACATGAATTTTTGAAATTTAACTGACCCCTTAAATTGTATCCTCCTTCCTTTTCATTAAATAGTTTTTAAATTCCACCAGGTAATAAATTGTCCCTGGCTTTATACATAAACACAGCAGTCTTATATCCCACTAAATCGAAAAATTTTAGCAATTTAGACTGTATAAAGGCTACATTGGTGTGATCCCTGTACCCCATCTTATGCACACAGATCATGGGTGTTTACCGTTGAATTGGTAAACGTCCACAATAAGGATTTCAAGGAACAATCGTGAAAAATAATATAGTGCATTGGCCAAAAAGTGTTGGAGTGTTACCATAGAAACCATGGCAACCTGATTTTCTTGGAGCCAAATTTCAGGGTATTAAGATAATTTAACAATAGACACAGATGACACAAGGCAGAGAAAGTTAGAATAGGTCAGTCTGCTAAATAGCCTACTTAATGCCTATTGGAATATTGTTGGTGTAAAATTCCTTCGGCAGTATTCTGCCCCACATTGTACAATTTTGAGAGATGTGGAGAGTTTATTATTATGCTGTGTACATCATTGTAATACTGTTGTTTATGTGTTCTCTACAGTAGTGTAGGGTGTTTTCCATAATGGAGCTTTGTTGTGCAGCTGTGAGTGTTTTGGATCAAGTCGTCAAATTAGTTTTCTCTTAATTTAAATGCTCTTCAATTAAAACTGCACTAATAGTTGATCATGACTTAATAATGTCAGCAGATGCTTAACTGAATTTGAGGGGAGAAAAATAGATAAAGTGCCAATTTTAAGCACACAGTTTAAGCTTTGACCTGAGCATACCAGATAATCAGACACAGTAGTGATGAATAATGTCATTAAAAGCTTATAAAATACACACATTCATTAAAAGTGTTATTGTCAGGTACTTTTTTAGTAACATAAGTACAATGATAGTTCAGTAGTAAATTTAACTGTTATTTTGGTTATTAGATAATGCTGTCACTCTGAATTTGTTGCTCCTTCTTAGTCTTTGGCTGTTAACAAAATGGATGAACATTTTTCATGAAATGAAATACAATTCTTGGAAGCTAACCAGCTTTATTGGAGGGCATTATTATCATGCATTGCTTTGATGCACTGATTTATGGTTGGCCTTCAGATGCAGTTGAGGTTCTGTTGCTGACTATCGCCCATAATTTTAGGTGGTGTGATAGCTAGTTAGCACTAGTTGACCCTTACTGGCAACCACATTGAATGTATATAAAAACTGGACAAACCCACCGTGACGTCACCCGTGGATTTTCTGAGGATTGGTTTTGAAGTCTGGCTGCTGCCATATTGGTAACGCTTCACCCCGCCTGTGAAGTCTAATCCAAAAATGAGCAAAGAGACATAGCATGAGTGGAGGTCTCTAGACAGCTAGTGGCCACATATGGTGGGACCCTTCCGCCTGTCACTCAAAGTGCTCGTGCCCTTAATTGTGTGTAACTTTTAGTCTCAGTATAATTTAAATTGCCAATTCATCCCTCTGTACAGGAAGGAGAAATTAGATATAGAGGCCAAAACTGTTTTGTGGACCAGGCTGTAAACATGTTTATTTCTGCTGTAAGGTTGGATAATTTAACATGGGAGTCTGTGGTGTTTGACTCCAATTTGGAGCCAGCCTCAAGTGGTCGTTCGAGGAACGGTAGGTTTTGGCACTTCTGCAGCGGCTTCATTTCTCAGCCTTGGAAGTTGTTGCTTGGGCAACCATTCAGACAGTACGTTGAATGAGTGGTGGAGGCAGCTGGTTAAAGACTGCTTTATAACTTCATGTTAAGCCTAGCAGATCAATAATTTTACTCTTTTAGTGTAGTTTCTCCCATTTTTTCATATACAGCAATTCTCATAAGCTATAGGGCCACGGGCTGACAATGCTATGGCAAAGCAACTCTAAACTGCTAAACTTTGGACACACGTTTCCATTCGGTTCAATGGGAACATGTGTCCAAACAGACGGTTAGCTGTCTGCTGGAAACACTGGGGGATGTCTCAAGGATGCACCAGCTTTGCACAATGTCATTTCATTTTTCCTTGAACACTGAAGTGCACCTTTATCTGTATTCACCACATTATTTTCTTTCTCTTTTTACATTTAGACCATTCCTAAATCAGTTTAATCTTTTGAATTGAATGAGCCCAGAACTGAGCCAGGTTTGTAAAACAGAAAACACCCTCACATTCCTCATCTGCTAAACAATGTAAAGATAAAAAATAGAAACATGAAAGGCATGAGTAAAAAGAGACCAATGAATAATAGCACAGTAAAATTCAAGTGTAGCTGCTCCCTGGAGAAGTGTTAAAGGTGGTTTTATGAAAGAGTTAAAAGGCTGGTGTTCATGGCCTTGTCATTGTGGTCCCATTAATTATTTATTCTTTTGTTTTCAGGCAAAGCACAGGCCATCATTCTGACACTTAGATAGGGCCTCGAGTGGAATCTGCAGGCCTACACTTTAGCTTGAAATTGACCCCTACATCGTACATGAATCATTAGTCATTTTCTTTCATGAGGGATGCGGACATCTTGCTCTTATGTTATTCTCCACTTCAATGTAGGACGGTCACTGTGAGGCTACATCTAGGACCAGATTTCCTGGTGTGAGATGTGCAGCTCCCACCCCAGTAACCAGAGCCTCTTCCTCCTCAGAAAACATTCCAAAGCCGTCTGCAGTGATATATGTCCAGGTCAAAGGTCAACTGTTATTGCAGAGCTGGGAGCAATGTAGGACATGCAGCAGCAGGAAGTGGACCTCTTCATTGACCTCTGTTTGGGACTTCTCCAGGCTTGATTAGTCTCACATGCCAACATTGCTCTTACACCAGGAAAGCAGGTCATTGAGATTAGTTTGCACTAATTTATCATAGACTGGTTAAATATGTCACTGTTGACAACAACAAATATTAATCAAATAAACAGGCCGAAGAATTAGCCAATTAATCAAAACAAAATTGGCAGATTAATCAAAAATGGAAATCATTATTTTCAACCCTATTTGTTGTAATATTATGGTTAGGGATAAGTTCATGTCATGTTTTATCGACAGTTATATAATGAACTACCATCTGAAATGAACTGAAACCGAAACCGAAACTTCTCTTCAGTTGGTATCAGAAAGTGTTATGAATCAGAAAATACTGGTACAGCAGGTTCCCGTTCAAAATAGTCAACATCACTGCACTCATTTAAATTCCTAAGAACAACAGACATTGCTTTGACTTTGTACATGTTTGTAGCGAGTAGTCAGGTGCAAAAAAATCGAAGACATCCTAAACCAAACCGGTGTGTTATAATCATTTAGCATAATTCTTAAATGCAGTGAAGGAACTTTAAACTCTTTGAGTTGAGTCTCACAAGTCTACAAAGAGGGCCACACCTTGATCTAGAGCTGAGTGAAAACAATAGAGCAGCTTGTGTTCTTTTTTGATTCCAGCTTTTATAGATTACAAAATAATGTGCAATCATGTAGTCATACAGATGTATAGTAACAGTAAGCGGTCTACTGCCTGGTGTCACCATCTGTCTGTGACCATGTTTTGTGTTTCAGTGAGGTATAACACAGTGCTTAATAAGATTGAGATGGTAGTAGATGTAGCTTAGTAGAAAACATTAAAGGTGCATTAACACAGATTTTACGATGTCTGATAAATCAAGTGACAGTGGGCTCCTCTGCGGTTGTCCCCGCCCTCCACTACCTAGGAGTTTGTGTTCATGTGTTCTTTCGCACTGTGTGTTACCCTTAACATTGGTTTGACATGGACAAACACTCAAAGGACTAATCTGGGTGGCTTTAGCATGTAAGGCTAATGCATTTGTGTAGGTTACACATCTTTGTGTTGAATCAATATGAATTAAATTTTTGAGTAATTTGAGCTTCAGCATAGTACTTTATTCTATTTCCTGTTGCAGCTGTTTTATATTTGGAGAAGTGCAAGAGAGAAAGATGGAAATATAAAATTTTAATAACAATGTTATTTTTATTACAATTTAATTTTTCATTATAGAAAAGTAACAAAAATGTGTGCTGTCAGT